GTTCTTACTTCAAAATACTGACGCTTAACTCCTAAAACATAGCACGTTTTTCTCTACACAACAACACTTACACAGCAACACATACGCACAAGTTTACATACATAAAAATATCACGAAAGTATTAAGTAATTGTAAATCCACTTATTGATAACTAGTTGCAAGCATTTTCTTTAATTTTATCAAAAATTTAATAAAAACTTTCATATTTCAACTCTACTTGTTCTTCACACTTGCTGATTTTTCATAAAAGAAAAGGACTGTCTGTGCATACATTTAATGTCCGATATACACTGTTTAAGTATTGATTCAGGAAAAATCACAAAAATCACGATTTCTTAAAAAAATACGTATAAAATTTAATGAAACTGTCCCACAGTATACAACACATAGTAAGATATAAAATATTAAGACAAGAAATTTCTAGGCAAATATGTTTTTTTTTCTTTTTACAAATGGCGGGCTCTCATCCGGCTTCGGCTTGGCCACTACTAAGGCCAGAAGCGGTAGCCACTTTATTATGGAGGCACCCAATAGGTGGGCCGCCTTTGTCTCTTATGAAGGGACGGACAGTTACAACCATGCCAGGATTCGAAGCCGGCCTCTTTGGTACGCAGTTGGTTCCCATAATCACTATATACCGTCTGGGCGGCATTATGGTGTTATAGAAATTAGCATATGTATAAAATGAACAAATCGGATGTGCCAGTTTGGTACAGGAAAATTACCTTCAATATGGGGAATGATCTTCTCTAGAAGCAATACAACACACTCAGCGATATGCGATGCTGTCAATTATGAAGACTATCAGTTCCGTAGGAAGTGAGAACCATTACTCTTGGGAAATAGTTGCAAGCGTGTAAAGGGTCTTAACAGGAGGATTCAGAGCAGCTACTACAAGGCTACCACAAGGCTACTACAAGGACTACCACAAGGCACTTCGCTTTTACGCACACTAATGCCCATCAATTTTGTTTATTTAGCTTCTGTTTCACGTGAACTGTCAGAGAAAATAGAGCAAAATGACGTGAATAAATTACATTAAAAATATCTGAAACATTTTCATTTACTTTTATACATTAATGCTTTTGTGCTCTTTCCTAATTTACATTATTTTAATAATTCAGCATAAAATATCTGTACTATGCAAAGCATGTATCAACCTCCTGTTCTTGTTACCATTGTTAAAGTTTCAAGGATCCAAAGCTGATATGTGTGTTTGAAGTCGGGAAAGGCTATTGCAAGAATAATTCTCATGTAATTCAATATCTATTGCGTATTAAAATGTGATGTACAGAATTTTGTTGATGACATCGAAAAGTATGATTCATATCACACTATGTTAAATTTAAGTTCCAAACTAGTCTCATCAAAATCACTCAGAATTTATTGTAGATATTGATAACTATGTCAGCAAATGTATCAAGAAGCGAATTCACGCAATTAGTTTTTTGAATTTTCGGGGGATTTACGGAGACTTTTCCAATATTTAAATTTAATGTGACTATTCAATTAATCCGCGAATTTCCTTAATGTTTTAATTTTTGCTGGGACTGCCGGATTATTTTTTTTTCCATATTTAAATCATTTTAATATTAAATTTCTTTATACTATACGGAAAATTTGATACAACGTAATTCTTAAATGGAGTGATCCCTCGTTTTTTGCGGTTAATGGGGACCAGATCCTTCTGCGAAAGCTAAAAAACCGCGAAGTAGGATTTGCCCCTAGGAAATTTTGTGTATGTGGGTAAAGAATGTATTAAATATGTAAACAGTATTTATACTTTATACATTTAAGCTAAAAATTTTAACAGTACACTTATTTACTTAAACGTGTCAGAGCTAATTAATAAGTCTAATTACAAAACCAATTAACCTTATTCAGTAATAAACATTAATCAACATTGCTTTCTGAGAGAGGCGAAGAGTCTTGTGTTGGTGGCGGAGGAGAGACTTTCACTTGACTCGTAGAAGCTTTAGGCTCACTCGGAGACTCTTCTGCTGGAGGCGCTGACGGTAGAGTCGGGAACTTTACCTTGGAGAGAAACATGGTGATGGATGGTTATCTTTGTTTTTCTTTTCCTTCAAAATTCCACTGTACAAGGACATATCCCCGTCAACGCGACTGCTGAACTCGACAGCTCAAACCATATTGTCGTCAATGTCTTGTGCAAATTGTTGCATCGCTCTTTCTATGTTGCACAATTGTTGTAGATTCCCCAGGGTAAGGCCACGCTTTTGTTTCTTCTTCGTCTTCCTCTTCGTTTTCTTCCTCACTTGCAGACTTTGCATCTCAAGGGGGTCTTCATCGGTCAGTGGGTCTGAGTGGCAATCGATAAGAGGGCTGATGTCTTCTTTTGCCATATCGACAAATCCTTCATTCCTTATGATGTGAGCCAGCCTCACCGCCTTCTCCACCGCTGAATGATGAACTCCTTCAGGAGTGAAGCCTGGATACTCCTACACCATGTTCGGCCATAATTTCTTCCAGCTAGAATTTATGGTCTCCCTTTTCATGTCCTTTAATACTTGCTGAATATTAGACAAACATGAGGCAATGTCGTAACTGTGCCAGTATGCTTTCAAGGTGAATTCGTCATTGGCATCGTCAATTGCCAAGATAAGGCCCTCCATCATGGTGCGAGTGTAGAGTGCCTTAAAGGCACGAAAGACACCTTGATCCAGCTGAATTAGAGATGTAGAGTTGGGGAGCAGAAACTCTATCTGCATACCGTCATATTGCATGGCCTCCTGCACAGTTCGTCAGGAGAAAGACCTTAAAGGGGAGCCCCTTTTCAGCCAGATACAGCTTCACCTGGGGAATGAAGCAATGGAAGAACCATTCAAGGGTCAGAGCTTTCGTTGTCCAGGCCTTGGAGTTATGCATCCAGAACATCAGCAACAGAGTCGTATTTTTGTTTTTAATGCCCGTGAATTTTTGGCTTTATTAATAAGGCCTGGCTTAAGCATAAAACCTGCAGCCCCCATTGCCAGACATGATGACAGTCACACGGTTTTTGTGAACCTTGAAGCCTGGCCATTTCACTTCGTCCTTGTTGTTGTGTGTGTGATTATGGCAAAGCGTCGAGGGCTATCTGCCTAATGAGAGGGATACCTTCGTGGAGGACTTTCTAAGGGAAACTGGCTTGTATACACGTTACACATGGGGAAAACAACCGAAACGCCCATGCAGCCACCCCGTTCACGGGATTCGAACCTCGGACCGAACTACCAGTGTTCAGCGGCTTTACTGCTCGGCCGCTGGTGGGCTCACTTCGTCCTTGAAAAGGAATGTGAAAATCCATGTTGAAAACTTGGCCAAGAATGTAGCCTCCCTTACTGATGAGGTTTGAAAACTCTTCCTCCACGTAACGATAAGCAGCTTCATTGTTAGCAGAGGAAGCCTCACCATACAGAGGCAAGTTTCTTATTTGAAATTTTTCGAACCAGCGTTTGCTGGCTGAAAAGCCTCGTTTTCGAGGAGGAGAATCACTCGTGGCAGCGCTATTACTGGCTTGAGGTTCGTTAGTGACTTCTTCAGCCTCTTCATTGTCGTCATCGGGTCGTAGAGAACTTGTGCCTTTATCCTGATTATATTAGTGTCTAAAATCACTGTCTTTTTCCTAAAATCAGCAATCGACGATGATAGTGAAGCTTCCATTTTCACAATTCTGTTATTATGCGGAGTTACCACACGTTTCGCTTCTTTATTGAAGGTTACTTCAAAGCATGGCGAGATATAACAATAAAAGTTTCAGAATCATATGCTAGGTGAGACTGCGATGATGCGCAGACAATCAACTCACAGAGATAAATTCATTCGTACTCTCATTGGTCGATGTCGCACCGGAAAACCAATCACGCACCTTTATGAGAGCCCGGTATGTACTCTGAGTCAACTCATCTCTTTGTTTGGCTGTATTTTTTCATTTTTATTTTTTATGAATGTTTTGGAAAACCCCGCGAAGCAATGAAGCCGCGAAACTTGAAGCGCGAAGTGGCGACGGAACTCTGTATATGAAGCAGAACTCACTTCACTTCCTCTTCAAATTATGCGAAATGTTGCCGGAAATACCATTTTTCAATGACATCAAAGAATCTGCCTTATCTGTGGTACAGTGAGCACAGATAAATTGCTTCAAAGGGAAATGATATTTGCCCGTAAGCATCATAATATGATTTTTAATAAACAAAGCTGAGTATACACGAAACGATATCCTTCAAATGAAATCACTGCAATTTTAAAACGGTGCTGACACCATGACAGGTTAATAAATCGTCACATACCTGCAAATTTTATTATTTATAATTGTAGCGTTAATAAGTTAATAAACAGCGTTTACATTAAATATTTTTTTTTGTTTCTAGGCTCCGTTAAGTCTCCTGAATATACTGAGCTATTTTTTAAGGTGCTCTAAGTATTAAATTTGATACATTATTCATATCTCTGACAAAATTAACATTATGTAACAAAGCTATTTATTATTTTGGAGTACGTTTGCAAATCAAGGGCAATTTCAATTTACAATGAGTTTATGAAGGTCAGCGTGAGTCATGGAGTGATTTATCATAAAGCAAGTAGCTTTTGTATATTTAGAACGGATACTTACGTTGTTGAAATCACTATTAAAGGTACACCTTCTGTGTTGCACGGTGTTGTAATAAATGGCTCAATAATTTAAGAGCACCAAATGTTATTCCGTATAAACCAGATAAGTTGAAATGTTATAATAAATGCACCAAATGTTAACCGCAACAACCCAGATGAGTTATAATGTAGTAGTATTAAATTAATGGCGGATAATAAGGCAAAGAAGGAATATTGAGATAACAGTACTAACGCTGTGACGATAATAACCCAATAAGTTAGAATATAATGATAATTTTGTGGTGTGCCTTAATAACCTAATCATTAAGTTAAATGAAAATGACTTACTCAAGTATAGTACCAAAATACTCTCGATACAAAAAACAATTTTATTTTTAAAAGTAATTTATTTATTTTACCTGTGAAAAAACAATTTTATTTCAGTCCTAGAACTACAGAAGAAATTTGGTATTACATGAAATTATGGCTTCAATCACAATGGCTTTCGCGAATTCGTCCACAAGCTACACACATAGAGAAGAAAATGAGACTTGATAATATCACTAAACACAGGCATAATTTTTTATCTCACTTAAGCAAGATCATTTAGCACATGAAGTGGGCAATAAGTTTCCAGCTGTTCAGAAGATCACTTGAAGCAGTTAAGGAACAGTTGTTGATATGTTCTGACTGCATGTCCCTCATAGGACAATTCTGAATGAAGGTAAATCTATCAACATTGTAATGTTACGCTAATTAATATTGTCAGGCTTGGAGTCCGGAATTCATAGGCGTAGATGCAGAAGAGTATTAACCGTGTATTTTAACAGCACTATCATGTATTTGTACAGGCACGATAAGGATATTTCATAATGAAGCACGAGGAGGAAAACTCCCACGCCCGTCACGCTTCATTTTCGCTTCCACTGAGTAGACTAGAAGGTGAGGCGAATAAAGAGCGAGTATGAGTTCCGAGTTCCAATTTAATCCCGCAATTAGCATGCGGCTATGCATGCTTTTTTCCGGCTGCCTTTCTTTATATTGCTTCTATGAACGCTCCAGGTACTTAATGCATCAGAATCGGTTCGCAGGACAGGCTAGCAGCGGAAAGGTGCGTGATCAGTAGTCACGTGGATGCAGCAAGACGTCGTGTTGGTTAAGAGGTTCCAAGGCGATGGTCTGAAAAAATACATAATTGCATGGCAAAAATACTGTAAGAAGTCAACAAAGTATCATTGAATAATCAATAAAGTATCATAGTCAATAAAGTATCATATAATTGCATGGCAAAAATACTGTAAGAAGTCAATAAAGGTCATTAATGACCTCCAACCCACTGTATTTATAGTATCTGTTGCGAAAGTTTGTCGCCACTGTCGAAAAGGTATTCGGATTGAAAAGCGTGAATGCTTGCCATCACACACGGAAGCCAAAGCAATAGTTGTTTTGCTCATAATCTGTGATTTCATACAATGTGTAAGATAATGGTTGTTCTCCAGATGTAATTTGACGGAATATACACGTGGTTACTTGGTGCGTAATGCGCCTAGTTCTCTTTTACTCTCAATATGGGACGTGTCTGTAATTTCACTGATTAGGAGAAGATGCCTGTTCTTTTGCAAGGCGCGTTAGATTCCGCACGTTGCTCTATGGCGCTTAAAAGGAATGTAATTTTATTAGTAATTACCGTAAATCAGAACTTTTTAAATTTACCTAAATGAATATTGATGACATCAATGTCATTAATATTTACAATGAAAACTGGAAAACAAGTTGTCTATCCTAAATGCTTTGATCTTAGTAAAACGAAAGATGAAACCGAAGCAGATTATCTTGGCCTACAAATTTACAATGTCAACACTATTACTTTATTCGAGAAAGGAAGACTTTTCAAGTTCAATACAACTGATTTAATTAATTGGAAATATAATATCTCCGGAAAAGTCATTGCTAACACTCTTATCTCTCAAACAAAAAGATTAAAAAATCTTTAATTACAGCAATGATTTTACGAAAGAGCTTAGTTTATTAATAAAAATACTCAAAAATAACAAAATTCCACTCAATTTCATCAAGCAAAGCTAACAAAGACTAAACCGAATACCCATCGTAAACCGAGTAGTATCTGTATATTCATACCGAATATATATACTTGTAATATTTGCACATATAACTCAAGTTTCAACAAGAATTTATTTAGTGAGCTAAATGTTTCTCAGTAGTGATTTTGAAATTTAATATTTAACTATATACCATATAACGCATACCTCCCGCTTTCTTGGCATGTCTTCGTGGTGTGGTGGTCTGCACGCTAGCTACGTATTCCAGAGGTCCGTAGTTCGATTCCCGGCGGCGAAGGCGTTGCTCATTTTTCACTTCTGCTTCCAAAAACTACACTAATATCTCTACAGTGGAGCCCCAATTAAAAGGGTAGTTGATCATGATTCTCCACACCCAGGATTTGGCAACTGGGTCCCCTAAAAGCCCAGTCGCCCTTTAAAAGGGGGAGTATATAAGGTATTTCTCCCGCCTTCTTGAGATGCCTTGATGGTGTGGTGGTCTGCACGCTGGGCGCGTACTTCCATGGTTGGATTCCAGGCGAAGGCGTTGCTCATTTTTCACTTCTCCTGCTTCCAAAAAATAACCTAATGTCTCTACAACCATATTTGTTTAAGTTAAGAAAATAAAATAAAGTAATAAAAATATGTATCTTGCTCAGTAACTAATGAAAATCTATCGAGAAACAAAGTCCTATTGCCTTGAAATGAATGCGAAAGCATGATCTACTAAAATCAGGGTGCCATCGTGTTGAATATGGTAACAAAGGCATGCCAAGATCAGCTTCAAATCGCAAATAAGACATGAATGTATTTAACTTTCAATTATTTCTTCTTGAGCGTCGAAAATTGATGGTTTTCAGGCGTCCACTCTAAGCAATATTGTCGGTCATGAGGTGAATAAATGACTCATAGGTGAGGCCATTCACAACGACTGCTTGAATTATAAACCTGCCGGTTCTTGGAGAAAATCTAGATGCTTATAGTGAGGAGATTATGTAAAATATTTTAAGTTTTTAATTATAACATTTTAAGATGTACCGAAGATCGTGTACAATGAACAATTTTTGAATTTAATAATTATCTGCTCCTACAATTATTTATCTGTAACTGAACGGCAGTTGAGGACTGTAGCGGAACGTAAATGCTACATCTTTTGTTGTTCTCTCTGCTGCCAAATGGAATTATGTTATCAAATCAAATAAAGTTATTCTTCTTAAATAAACATTACATACTTCAGAAAAATAATTGTATGTATTTATATTATTTATCTTTCGTATTTAAATATATACATACATTTTTAATCTTTCATCCAAAAGAAAAAAAAAAAAAAAGATTTTCTTTTTTTCCCGAAGAAAGTGCGATCACGAAGGTTAAAAGGATACCAAATCTTAAAAAAATATTTTCCACTTTTTTTGGCTCCTTTTATGTGCCTTAATCCATTAATCATCAGTGTCATAACACCGATTATTCATAAAGCTCTCTTAACCAAAATAAATGATAACCAATTATCTGGCAGCCATTATATTCCCTGGCAACGATGCAAAAAGATTAAGCTTCCGCTTATTAGAGAAAAAGGAGAAGCAAGAGTAGGAAATACGGAGGATGATTGAAAGAAAAAGATTAGTATTAAGAATAAAAGTATTCAGAATAGATAAAAATGAGCCGAAGTTTGAATTAAAAGACATTTTATTTGCTATTTTTTATTTTGTTTTCTAATAGTAAATGCGGCATATCTAAATTACGCCAAGCTTTGTTTGCGATGATGCGATACATGTTGCAAATAAATAACTCTATAATCCGCGAAATGCTGCTGAAGATAAATATCTAGTGAACATTATCCTCGTTTCTTATTTCTTGCCTGCTTACATCAAAAAATCATTAGTTAAATTCTAAATGTGGCTCTACGCTGCTGGTAAAATGTTTTTTTTACAATCAGATGCGTAATTAAACGATCAAAGAGATATCATAATTCATAAAATGAATTTTGCTACTTAGTATTGCAATTAATTTGCAACGCAATACTACAGCAATAGAAAGACTTTCAAGAGAGACGTTTTCTCGTTCAAAAGAAGTTTATATAAAGTCGCGAAAATCAAATGGAGTTAGAATCTAATTAAATGTATGGCAATAGTTCTCATTGTGCATTGTATCTGTACATTATATGAAAAATAATTTTACTATCTAAAATCATAGATTACGAAAAAATATATTCCCGGTTTATTCATCCTATTATGAAAGTTACGGGAGCTTCCTACAAATCGCTTTATCCAAATTTCATAGCATAATTCTAATATAGGTATTTTGACACAAAATTTGACTTTTCTGAAATGACATCGCAAAATATTTCCATATTTTGTTATGTCATATCTACGACACAAATTATGCCCAAATGCCAATTTTTTTTTTTTTTTTTAAATCGCACAAGCTCTTTCTTAAAAATTAACTCTCAAAATATTAGCTCCTCAATGTTAGTTGAATTCGGTAAATATTTATTAATTTCTATTTTTTTAAACTTACCTGATTCTTCCTTTCATATATCGAATAAATTCCAAATAATATTCGCCGATTTTTCTGATGTATTTTTAAAATTTTTATTTTAAAATAATTATTATAAATTTTTTGAAAAATATTTTGAATTATAATCTATAAATGTTTTATCATCATCTAAAGTAGATGTATTTCTAAGCATAGCTGCAAAAAAGTAGAGTTTTTTCTTCAAACTTTCTGAAGATATACACGAATTTATAAAGTGGCGTGTTTTGAAATTCGGCATATTTGTTGAAAGCGATAACAACATCAAATATGGTGTAGGCACTTTTGCTGTAACCGTAATTTCTTTCTTCTTATTGGTTTCCAGAAATCTCGAGAAGCAGAAAATGCGAGAAATATCTTGCGATGCCGCTTAAAACTATTTAAAGCCGGAGAGAGACATCGCAGCTCAGTTGCTTAGTTACTGTATAAATTTTTATTAATCTGTTATCGGACTTGGGCTTTCAATCTACACTCATGTCCAAAATTATGTTTACATGCATAAATTCACGGATTTCTCAGAGACTATGACTTATAATTTAATGAATTTTCGTGGAATCATACATAACATGATGACACATAAATGCAAAAGGAAAAATTGAAGATCACCTCATATGATATAAAATTGTAGCATGAAACAATAAAAATGGTAATAAAGTGTGACAAAGAGAGTTAAGAAAAAAAGGAATGATTCAGAAAAAGAATTAAGTCTTACGAATTTAATATGGAATATGATCTCCCCTGACTTGTACACACATATCACAACGTGTTTTAAGGCTGGAAATAACGTTGTTAACCACAGTTTGGGGAATTAATCTCCACTCTTCCAGTAATGCCGTCTTCAGAGCATTTACATCTCTAGGAGGAGGATGTATACGTGTAATTGCTCTTCCAAGGTAGTCCCATAAGTTCTCTATCGGGTTAAGGTCAGGAGAGTTTGGTGGCCAAGGTATTCGCTTAATGTCTTCACTTTCAAGGAATTCATCAACGAGGTTTGCTCGATGTGGACGGGCATTATCATCCATAAATAAAAAGTCAGGTCCATATGCACCCCTGAAAAGTCTTACATAAGGATCTAAGACCTCATCTCGATATATCTGGCCTGTCACAGATCCGCTGCTGAACACGTGTAGGGGCGTATGTCCATCGATCATTATTCCACCCCATACCATCACACCTCCACTACCGAAACGGTCACGTTCCACAATGTTCGAAGGATCATTTCGTGTTCTGACTTCCTCCAGATGTAAACACGTTTAGAATCACCAGTTAAACTAAACCGCGACTCATCAGTAAAGAGAAAATGGGACCATTGATGTTCAGTCCAGTTTTGATGTTCTTTACACCAATTAAAGCGATCTCTATTTTTCTGTGAAGACAGTAAAACACATACCCTTGGCTTTCTGGCATAAAGGCCTTTTTCATTAAGCCTTCTGTATATTGTTTGCCGTGATGCAACAGTTCCAGTGGCGGCTGCAAGCTCTGAACTTAACTGGCGAGAAGTAGCCTTTCTGTTACGACGGGTAGTTAATGCCAGATACCGATCTTCAGAAGCAGTTGTCATTCGTTTCCGACCTTGTCCAGGCCTCC